GGTCTCTTAGTTTCTTGTAGTTTTTTTTTTTCTTTGGGTGGCTAGATATTTCTTTCTTTGGGTGGCTATTGTAAATGGTATTGTTTTCCTAATGTTCTTTTCAGTGATGCCATTGTAACTATAGAGGAATCAAACTGATTTTTGTATGTTGATCTTAAACCCTGTCACTTTGCTGAATCTTCCAATGAGGTCTAGTAGCTTTTTTACTGAGTCTTTGGGTTTTTTTATGTAAAGGATCATATCTTCCGCAAATAGAGTTTTACTTCCTCTTTGTCAATATGGATGCCTTTAATTTCCCTGTCTTGCTGTGTAGCTCTTGCTAAGACTTCCGGCATAATATTGAGTAGGAGTGGTGTCAAAGGGCTTCCTTGTCTGGTTCCTGTTCACAGAACTAAGGCTTTCAGTTTCTCTCCATTGAGAGTAATGTAGGCTGTTGCTTTTGTATATATGCTCTTAATTGTGTTGAGGAATTTCCCTTCAATTTCTACTTTGTTGAGTGTTTTTATCAGGAATGGATGTTGGATTTTGTCAAATGCCTTTTCTGCATCAATCGATATGATCATGTGGTTCTTTTCTTTTTTCTTATTTATATGTTGGATTACGTTGATCAGTTTTCTAATGTTGAACGATCCTTGCCTCCCTAATATGAGTCCCACTTGCTTGTCACGTATTATTTTTTTGATGTGGTGCTGGATTCTGATGGCTAGGATTTTGTTGAGAATTTTTGCATCTGTGTTCCTGAGGAATATTGAGTCTATAATTTTCTTTCTCTGTTATGTCCTTCCCTGGTTTGATATGAGGGTTCAATAGACTTTTAATCAAAGACTTAATTTTGTAGCTTAATGTCCAACAGTAAGATTAATGTTTAAATATTTGTTCTGTGTTTCTTATGGAATGTTGTTGTTGTGTGCCGTGGAGTTGGTTCCGACTCATAACAACCCTGTACAGGGTTTCCGAGGTTGTAAATCTTTATGGGAGCAGAAAGCCTCATCTTTCTCCCGCAGAACAGCTGGTAGTTTCGAACTGCTGACTATGAGGTTCGCAGCCCGATTCATAACCACTACGCTACCAGAGCTCCTTTTATTATGGAATACCATGTATTTATTAAGGAGGTAAGAGAAATGTCTGCGTGTTGACCTTTAAGATATTAAGTGAAAAATGCAAGATGCAGTGTTTAAATAAGGCAGTTGAGGAAATAAAATATATTTGTTTATGTACTAATTATCTTTAGAAGAGCATACCAACTAACAATGGATTGTCAAGTTGATAACTGGGATACAGGTCTAGCAAGAGTGAAACTTTTCACTACAAACACTGTTTTTGTTTTTTGAGCTGTGTTACTTACTCAAAAATTATAAATACGACTTGTGTGGTGATGCTTTTCCTAAACTATGTAAATTCAATGACTAAGGTTTCATCATAAATCACCCTCCCTTCTGTTAAAATGTTTGCCTTCCCATTTTTGGTTATATCACAGAAAGAATCTCTACCTGAGAAAGACCAGTCTTTTTTATGGGTGAGGCTGGAGGTAATTCAGAAAGCTAAATATTATTAACAGAGGAATCTGTCTTTATCTAGATAGACTCCTTATTCACCTCTAGGTCAACTCAACTTCTGTACATCTTCCACAAGGCCAAAAATAACTAATCTTTAACCAACCGAAAGCAGCTCTCTTTATAAAATCAATTTTCCTTTAAAAGTCCATTCTATTGACATCAATTTTTTTTTAAAACACAGAAGTAAAAAGAGAAAATTAAAGTTTACTCATCTAGTTACTATTGGTATATTTCCTTCTAATTTTGTCGTCTATATAAAGATTATGTATATTTATTTTATTTATTTGGGATATTTTCTGTATACAGTGTTCTATCTGGAACTTTTCACTTAAATACCTTAACCTCAGCCATCTAATGTGTGTGGGTATTTTTGTACTCTTCACATAAAGAACTCTTGGTTATCCTTTAGGTCTCAGTTTAAATGTTATTTCCTTAGTTACAGTTTCTTATTATTTGCTTTCCACAGCAACCTATTCTTCTGGAGTACTTTTCATAACAATTATAAAAATAATTTGTTGTCCAAGTTTAAGTTTCGTTTTGGTTGTCATGGTTGGACAGCTTGAAAGACAGAGATCTTACTTGTCTGAGTCATCACTGTGTCCCTAGGGCTTGCTATACTGTCTCTCACTTATAGCACAATGGGTAAGAGCTGGGGCTTTGAAATAAGATAGATGGATAAACACATTCAAGCTCTACTTCTCTGATAGCACTGAACAAATGCAGCCTTTTTACTTCTAACCCTGAACTTTTGAGAGTGGAGCCAGTGGAATAACTTCACTGGCTTAAATTCCTTCCCTAGATTTTGGCTCTTGAGGTGCATTGGTATAAGGAGTGATAGGGAATTATTTGTCCTGCTATGACTGAGAACAGCTTTAGCCTTCACCACAATTAGTGACTGAAGTAATTCATTATGCAAGAAGCATTCAACTGCTTCTTTGAATGATTAAATAGCTA